GAAGGGGTACGAATAAGCCCCTGTAGGTGCCGTAAGTATTTTTTTACGGGAACAGGAAGCACTTCTCGAGTAGCCCTTCTCGAATGCAGTTCACTGTTGAGATTGGCTTTCAATCCTGGCAGGGAATGGCCCTGTTGTCCACATTTGGCAATGACACCCGAACAGTTGTGTCCTTTTAAGATCGATCTGTTAAAGATCGATATGTTACAGACAACAGACAACATCAGGGCATCATCATCGTTTGGGCGTAGATCCTAAGATATGATTTCATAGGGGAAATGCAGCGAAGGTATGACGGCGTCTAGCCTTGAGGGGCTCGCCAACATGCTCAAAACGAGTACATGGTCAAACAAACTAAAGCTGAAATTGGGAGTAATACGGCACACAACATAGTGATACACTGGAGAAGATGTGAGCAAAGAGGCGATGGTTAAACAGCTGAGAGACACTGCCTGGTTTTCTAACGCTGCAAGAACACCCACAGCTTATCAGATTATGGAAATCCTTTGATAGCGTGACCGAGATGAAAATGTCTCCAGTCCTTAAGCTGACTAATGAAGTAGACATGGGAAAATTGATTTCCTCCACTGACGGACCACTAAATCGTGAGTTTGGTTGGTTTTTGCGTGGGCGAAGAGGTGCTGCGACAAGCGCAATTAGTTGCGTAATTGCTCAGCAGTCATTCAAGTGAGAACAATTCAAAGGAGTTTGAGATCTTGGTAAATGTCGCGGGCACCCCTTTTTCAGTGGCCATCAAGAGTAGTTGGTTGTTTTTCCTTGGCCCAGAAGAAATATTGAAGTTATAGGGCTTCTTGGACTTTGAATTGGAGTGTGAAGCCATAGGCTCATCTGACAGGATTTAGAAGTTATTGCGTGTATAGGAATACTTAGAGGTGTCCTTAAAAGCCTATCGAGTTGTTTACTTGAGGCGGTCCCTCTCCTGCTCTTCAGAAGCGCAGTGATTTTAGAAGTGCTTTGTAATTATAGGCATTTTTGAGATGAATTTTTCAGAATTTCCCCGTGCAAATCACTGGTATTCAATCGACCGGCCAACGTATTATCGTGACGGATTCGCAGGAATCGGTGCACTTCGTACGTTACAGGAAAGCGGTTAGTGTCACGAATAAATTCCGCTTAATTAGTAAGTATTAGCTGGCAAGTAGCGTCATTTTCCAGGAAAATCAATTGGTTATTTTCTGCGATGACACCACCCCACGTTACGTTACGACATGTTGTGTGTTGGATTACAACACGGTGGCCGTAGGGGATAAATTTGGATCGATATCGATTGTGAGTATTGATTATTGATTTATCTGATTTTATTGAGATTTTCTAGAAATATCATGAAAATTCGCTTTGTGGATGAAAGTAGGGAAGGAAATTAGAGAATGATAGGGAGATGAGGTCATGCTCATGCCAAATGCGATGCCAAATCCGGAATTTATTGACTTTCTATTAATCAATATCAGTGAATTGTGAAGGCCCAGGTCCTTTTTGATGCCCCTGTGCTCGATTTCTTCACAAAATTCCACAATGCTAAGTTTATCTGTGCAATGTAAGCCCAGTTGATTCTCTAGTCAGCCTTTCAGTCCTAACAGTTTAGTCCAGTACCCTGTAGTACCTCGTCCACAATGAGGATGGAAGAAATGGTCGGGCAGTACGATGGCAAGGTGTGGGTAAAGCGTTTTTTCGTAATATCCTGGCCGCAGTGCTATCCCACCATAGTGCGTACCGCCGAGTACGGTACAATGTGGAGCTGGAGGGAGGATTGTTTTTAATTAGTTGGTATTTTTATGGTATAAAACTGAATATTGTTGGAGCCGAAAATCAGATATATGTTATCGATTTTTATTTATTGAAAACCATATGTGGGCCAGTTTACTGAATGCCAAATCGAATACCAAATAGATCAAATGGGTTGAGATCCCTAAAGGTGCAACGAAAATGAATATGGAATACGGTAAATTGTAATAAGTATCAATATTGGTGAAAAGCGATGGCAGAAGGTTCAAACAATGAATTCAGAAAGGGGCATAAAAGAGTATTTCTAAAATAACGTCGCCCGATCGAGCGCACTAGTCGGGTAGTGTGAAAGCTTAGCTTTAGATAGGGGATAATCGAATGGGCAATACTAAAAGGTCGAATATAACCCCGCATGAGGTCCGCATGGTGAATCTTAGTGAATAGAGCTTCATGAAAATTGAGGATAATATGCTAGCGTGGGGGATTCCCGCACTCTGCCCCCTCCCCTTTATCCCCTTAAGCTCACTTGAGAAAAGAAAATGTCATGGATGATGGGGTGGGTGTCACGTGAAGCCGTGGTAGTCGTGCACTGCAGCTAAGTGTAATTGTACAAGTTGAAAAAGGACTTTTTTCCGCAAGGGCGCTGCAAAGATTGCACTATTTTTGAAAGAGTTATTTCAAAGATTAACGCAATGCGATGTTTTCACCCCTTCAAAGAATTTTAGATTAGTTGTACTAGTAACTGAAGGGTACTGAGATGCTGAATGATGCTCAAAATTGCACTTCATATAATAACTGACTCATTTTTTGAATCGATGGAGAAAAGAGGGGAGGTAAATTTGCCCAGCGGTCATAATGAGGGTAGACAAACAGAGTTTATGAGAAGCGCGAAAGCTGTTGCGAGTTGAGTAAATTATAGAGTTGAGGGTATAATCACTGGGAAATTCGAAGCAATTTCATCGGTTTTCTCACACTTACGTAATAGATGGGAAGATAATGGGTGGTAATAAGCAGGGGAAACTGTTGATGTCAATGAATTTTATAAATTTCCTTCAATCGCACAGAAAGCGACAGGAAACATTTCTGAGGTCTAATATCTTGAGGCAGTGGCATTTTGCTGTCACGTTGTTAATGCGCTTTTTTCAACTACTTTCCAGCTAATGGATAAAGTTTTTCATGTGAAGAGGAGAGCCGCTTATCGTCTGAAGAGACCATAGCGATTCGTTAGCAAGCGAAGCTCCATCTCCTTCACATCACCCGTCTATGGTGATGATAAAGTTACCTTTCGGACAAATACGTGGGCATTCAGATGATTGTTGTGAACTTGTCTAGTCTCGATGAAATTCAATAGAACTGAATCTTGAGTGACACAGGGCATGCTTGTGTCGCTCACTTTGGAGGAAAACATCTTTGAAGGGTGAAAAACATTTTCACCCCTTGCCTCCTCAGCCATATTTCCCTTCCGTAACCAACATTTGAGAGGGTTTTGTGCATAGGCCAAAAGCAAGAGATACGAGGGTTGTTTAGAAGAGATGTATAGGTTGGGTGATAACCTGACTGGCAGTCTAGAGGTACGACGATTGTCAGTTGAACGGATCTGGGCTCTGAAGGCTCTTTTGCACCTGGCCGCGGCCACTTCCTTCCTATTCTCGGAGCTCAAAGTCAGTTTTCGCGAAAACGTACTAGCAGGCAGCTGGAACTGTTACTGGAAAGAATTGGTTTTGAGAAAGAATTTCTAACAACGCCTTGGCCGTATTGCCTTGACGTTTCATGGGATCGGTCAGGCTAGGTGGAAAGGTACTGGTTTGTTTACTGTATTCCGCTAAGTCTTACAAGATGCCAACTACTTGGAGGTGCCAAAGAAGCACACCATTGCTTTTAATGTAGAGCTTTACAAACGCTTTTCGCTGTTAAGCTACGGAGTATTTTTGAAGCATATACATTTTAAACGAGAATTGCGTTGAACTAAATTAAGAGAACGGAAACCAGAGATCACATCGAGTCAGAGATCTTCTGGTTGAAAGCAGCCTTTGCCTTCTGGGTAATTGGCAGTGAAAATGACTCAGGCTTCCACAGCAGCCTTTATGTGCAGTGGAGTGTTCATGTGTGTCTGTCTGTGTGTTTGGTGTCCAAAGCAGCCAGTAAGCTAATAAGTGATGAAGTTGAGCAAAAGCGGGTGGTGAAAGCGTTTTAAAAACAAGCCGAGGTCCATTCAGCGACAAACGTAACCTGGAGCTTAGAGGTAAGCAATTCTCGACACGTTTACAGCCCTTGGAACCCGGAAACGGATGTCGGCGATCAACACGCACTGGAATAGAAAATAAAGGCCAAGGGTAGCAAATCTTGGGATGAACGTCATTGTCTAATGAGGAAATGGGCAACGTCCAGCTGAGCAACCCAGCCTATGCTTCTTTCAGCTCCGACATAACTGTCTCCCATCAATGCACGAGTTATTGCATTATATTCGTCCTGAAAATAGCTCTTCTATGCATGAGAAGCGCCTGGAAGGAATGTATAGCAATAACGGAAGCTATCATGGGATTCACGGATGGCTAAGGATGCGGAATAGCAGAACGAAAATGATTCCCCTGAGAAGGTTGGGGTCAAATCTGACTAAGTGGGTGCCTTCGACGATGTCAAGAGAGTTAGCAACAGCGGCAGAGTGATGAAATTCGAACCACCGGCCGTGGCCGATGGAAAGATGCTAACAAATTACGCTTGGAGAAAGAATCGCAGCCCAGCGTGGAACGAGCAGCCAAGGTTTGTGCTACAATAGTACGAGTAGACTTTATGGAGTAAAGATCTCAGGCTTGGTAGGAGCGTTATATGTCACGAGTTGTTGCACTATTTAGTGCGAAACTTCACGCAAATAGCTGAAATCTTTCTGAGAGCGCAGCTTGGCTTCATAGCCGCAGTAATATGACCTTTTAGGTCATAGGCTGCCAAGTGAAGGTGGTAAAGGTACTGCGAGCGAGCTGCCTTCGAGTTTATGGGAACTTTGAATTCAGAGTTGAAGTACTCTGCCTTGCCAAAGAACGTTCGATGCTGAAGTGTATATAAGTTCTGAAATAGAAAAGCCGTTAGTCCACCTTGATAAGGTCAAGGTTTGGGCAAACATTTATCAGTGTCAGTGCGGCTACTAACTCGTTCACGATACGAAGGTCGGAATTCGACTAAGGCAATACCAATCAATTATCAGTTGCTACCTTGCTGTCCGGGACAATGAGGTGAGCATTGGCCAGTCTCAAAAGTGACTGCAGGCCTGCATTCAACAATCGAAAACGTATCGAAGTTTGATGGAGGATGATGCATGGCGCAGTCTTCCATTGGAGATAACATTTCGGAAAGGATCTCACATCATTGAATAGGTTTAGAACACGAAATAAACGGCGAATGATCTTAGTGCTCGGTACTCTTTTTTGGAGAAAGTTCTCCTTCCAAAGAATTTGGCACTGAGTGTCCATAAAATTGTGAACAGAATAGTTGAAGCTGAGAACATTTTCATATAATAGGAAGTGACTTTGTCACCGAGTTTGCAACGAGCAACAAAAAAAGCTCAATTGCGATCATCAATCACTATTCGCTTATGCTGATGATTGATGAGGACGGCAGGTGTCCGCAGCCGTTTGCCAGTCAGCAAAGCTAATTGATACGGCTAACAGCAACGGAGAGAGCGTTTAGGCAACTTCGATGGATTGCAGCTTGGCGTATTCGTCGTCGTCGTCGATGGCGGCAAGCAGGGGCGGAGCATAATTGGATGCGCCGGTGGTAAACACACAAGTAGTAGTGTAGGTCGTAGTACGCACGATGATTTGAACACAGCAATCAAACCTCTCGGCTTCCTCTCCCATTTAATAGGATGAGATGTATAGACACGGAAGTTGTTCTCGCTCAGAAATCCGTAGCCACTTACGCACTGGAGGCCTCCGCTAGTACGTGCCCTTGAATCGCGGCGAATTGAGCTTCGGCCGATTTGTGAGCACTGGTCTGAATGCGATGCGGAGGGGAAGCTCGTAGGGTTCAGAGGAAGTGAGCGCTTGGATGGCTCAATAAAGCTGTTCGCGCTCAAAGCCTCCAAGATACTCGGTTCCATGATTGCTGTAATTACCCTATGGTTTTGTCATCAACTGCTCGGCTTACAAATACTGGTTATGGTGGTTGTGGTGGTTGTGCATCCGTTTGAGTCCGGACCATTCCATGAGTACTGAATAGGCCCAAGCAGTTGTCGTTGAATGCGTCTTGCTCTTCATTGCTCGAAGAAGAATTGCCAAGGGTATTGGGTGCAGTAAAGCTATGGAAAAAACGATTTGTATGTCTTCAAAATCTCTGAATGCGGAGCAGCAAGTTGGGAGTGAACACGACGAGGTGCCAGTCGAATTTTTAATGGACCAGCTAACCGGATGTACAGGTCGTGTTTGCGCGTTGCTTCGAAGCAGATTTGATTTGACTTTTCAGCTTGTTTGGCGACGCCAACTTCGGGCCACATGAAATCTACGAATCTGAGCAACACGCAGTCACCAGTTTCTATCCATTCGAAAAAGCTTGCTGAGGAGAATCTTTTTTCGCGCTAGAGAGTCAAGCATAGTGGGAGATTCCGTTTCAACGGCCATTAAAGTTTTAATCCGTATTTGAGGATGACGAGTATGGGCGGAAGTGGTGTAGTGGCAAGCGCGCTTACCACGCGAGCGGTCCGGGATCAAATCCTGGGTCGTGAGTCGCCCGGGCCAACCAAGCCTTCCATCCCTCCGGGGTCGGTTAATTGGTACCAGACTTGTCTGGGAGGATAAAAAACACTGACTTGTACATCGGCTGGCCCCGCAAGTCATTGTATAGGCCACATCGCATTCAAACGCCACTACGAATGTACAAATGGAAGTAGAATGCGTGCCGCATCCCAAAAAGGGATTGATCAACGGCAAATGCTTTATCCTTTTTTTATTTGAATGAAATTTTTGTTGAAAAACAACGCCAGGAGTGATGTGAAATCGACATGAAACGACCATGAAGAGCGGGGCAGAGTGATAGAGGAGGTAATTAGCATTTGAGTGGAGCAAAAAAAACATGTTTTTAATCACAGCTAAGCTTTACACAAGAGAAAGATTATTTGCCATGCTGGTTGCCAGTTGGTTACCAGTACGGGCACTCACGCGGTCGTTGTTGATCCTACCACACACCACACCTACTTGATTCGTTCAGGTGGAAAATTCGGAAGGAGAATATTAAGGTATAAGTGGTGTGCGTGCTATGTGACAAGGATTTGTATCTCGCAATTGGACTAAGGTGGTGTAAAGGGGGCTATTGGAACGATTGGCGACATTTGGCACGAATATTCACTCAACTGTCGACGCCCATGTTTGACAAACAGAGCAGCTGTGTTATGAGCTATAGCAATAAGCTTTGAGAAAATGGCTTGCTGTTTTGAAGCGGGATCCGAATTTTGCTGTCTGAAAACAAACATTGAAATCCCCGAAATTATTAAACAAGGGAGCTAAAACAAGCTTACGAAGTTTACCAAGGCTTATTTATGGATGTCAGTCATTACGCTGCTGATAAATGTCTTTTGAAGTGTGATGACGTGAGCTTGAGTAAAGTTTCGTGACAGGGCTTGTGGGTCATTCTGCCTTATGTCGGTCATGGACGTTAGTGGTCGCGCTCAGACCAGAAATGTATTTGTACAGTGGCAAGAGTAGCCACATCCTGCATGGAAGACTATCGGAATCCGCTCCGCGGATAGCGGGAACATCGAATCTATGAGACTTATAACTTCGGCGACAAATGTCGCACAACTATGTGAGGCATCGGCCATGAAATCGAATCGAAGACATCAATGGAAAGTGAATTCGCGAAGAGTCGCTGGAGTTCCATGGGCGTCTTCCGAGTCGTCTGTTCTTCTTAGAAATGAGTGACGGCTGGCCGCGTTGTCCTTCAAGAGCACTTCGCGCATCATCTTGAGCAGAAAGTGCATATTGAAGCGTGTACTACAGCTTCCAGTTCTCACACTCAATGCAAACCTTGCCATGTGGATATGCCTCATCAAAGTTAGTTGTCAACAAGTCGTCACGCGTTATGAAATAGTGAATATACATAGCGTAATCGAATTCATTTTGAATTCTGAAGTTTCCTTATGCCTCCCTTTGGCGAAGAAAGCAAAGAGCTGAAAGCTCTCCTTTGGAAAGAGAGAACGAAAGCACTTTTCTAATGAGCAGCGTGCTGAATCAGAGGTAGAAAAGAGAAGCTTTCCTGCGAAAAATGCTGACTGCTCCAGGAAAAGGGAGGCTTGAAGTGTAATGAGTAAACAGCTTTTGTTTCAAAATTCGATATGAAGCTACTCAATTTTGTGTAATCTAGATGCTTGGCGAGAGAATGAATAATAGCATATGAACTCACAAGCAGCATAGAATTCCAACAAAATTTAAAACAAAACATTTGAGAATATGTAAAAATATCACAAAAATACACGGGGAATTGTATCTCAGCCAACGTTTCGACTGTTTCGTCGTTTTCAACTACCTAAAAATGGCTCAGAGCTTGCGAGTCGAACACTACCCAAACACACAAAAAAAACGAAGCAAAGCCTTCTCCACTCTAGCGTGACGTTCCGCCAGAAACCACAAAAAACACCGAAATAAAGTTTGGCGAAATAGTGTTCGCTTTGCAAGCTTGAGCCATTCTTAGGCTTTGAAAACGACGAGACGGTCGAAACGTTGGCCAAAATAAAAGTTCCACCCACCAACCTCGAGGCAGAAGTAAACATTACAAAAAAAGCAAAAAATGCCGAGGTCCCAAGGTGGGAGGACATGGAATTCATTGCACGAGGAACATTTAGTTTGCCTGCTTGCATGTTTTAGGTCTGAGCTAGATGTCGACAAGTTTTTTGTGCTGCTTCGGCTTTTCACCCTACCTGGCTTATTTAATCTCTACAAGAAATTTTGAGATCTCAGAAATCTCAAAAACTGCGATTCCGGAATGACATCGTTGCCGTATGGCGCCTCAACAATAACACCGTCCTTTAATTTACGCCTTCGATTTTCCAGGTTGTTGGATCTGTATAGATGTGTGCAGACGGCATGAAATAGTGTCCGAAAGCCATTCGATTTGTTTTTTTTTTTTGGGGTTTTGCTCATTGCTTTCCATAGACTTGAATGAGGAGACTCTTGTAAAGAGTTACCTAAGCGCTCAGAGATCTCGATGAGCAACAACACGAAGAGGGCAGTGTGCTATGTGCTTCCGACGAAATTGTTTACATGTGTTCTGTCCTTTTCGAATTTCCAATTGGTCGTTAGGTTAGTTTGAGTTCGCGCAGCAGAGGAAATTGTGTCCGAACAGCTTTTTTGCCCACTTATTCCGTTGAAGTGGAAGGAACATTGGTGGAGAGGGACAAGGGAAACGTGCGAAGGGCTAATATGGAAGCTGCATGAGGGGAACACCGCTTTTCGTGGCAATGTTTGGAAAGGGCAAGCTCTTTATTGAACTGCTCTCCTTTCGAATTTTTTACTGAGTCAATTTCCATGAGTTCAGCGGGTCATGGGTGGTGTGTGGCGATGGTGTGGTGAATGAAAAGTACTTGGCAAGAGTCATTTGCTCAGGATTGCGCCGGCATCCAATTTGTGAGCAGCATTTTTGAAGCATGTGAAGGCGTGTTCTCCTTTCATACGCATAAGGCTGTACCCGAATTAATGTCTCATGAACGGAGACAAATCCGGTACTGAGTCGGACTCACGTGGAGAGCGCTTGACCATTGCAATTCATTGTTTAGGCTAAACGCATTCAGATCTTCAGAGATTCAGAACGGGAGTAGAATGCGTATTGGGTTGTCAGCGATGATCCATTTTCTGTCCTTTATGCATTTACTAATAGAAGCAGCTGCAGAAGTGCAAATATAGTCCTCAAAGACTGAAAAAAATTGGCTGATCATGGGTAATGGGCTTATCGAAAGAAAATTCAATTTTCCAGTGACATTTAGCTGTTACCCAGTATAGCCATGCTCTGGAAATTCATTGCATGTTTTATGAGCGAAAAGAAAGGAAATGTGGACAACGAGTGATGTCATGGTGCCACTAGAATGTCAAATAAGTATCACATCGGCCAGAAAATGCTTATTTATCCGCTTCATAGCGCGAGCACTGCGTGGTCCAAATGGAGAGATTTTTAGGGAGAACGAATGTGTACATATAAATACATACATATGAAGAGTAGCTCAAGGCATGGGTCACGATCGAATGGACGTGTTATTCCCATTGGATATACAAGGGCGTTGAGAAGGAATGAGAGAGAGCACGTCAAATGAGGAGGCGCAGAAATCGCTGTGCTGCGAATGCGTAAAAATAGCAGATGTCGCAGCGGTCAAAGCAAGGTCTCAACGCCCTTTTACGAATTTTAAGGGCCCAACAGTGCCATGGGTACTATGCTTAGGGGCCCCGCTACCTCTCTCACGCAGAGAATTGCTTCAAAGATCTTTTCGCGCGTCGTGTCTTTGGCTATTGTCTTTAGTATCAATAATATTTTCATCATGAATATTCAATTGGATAATAATTATGGGATTTATTGACTCGATTTGAGCGAAAAGTGCAGTAGTTCTGCAATTCGATTGGTTGAAATGTTCTTTACGAGTTTTTCTAATTACGCAAAAAATGTGAAGAGTACATCAGATCTTTACACTCAATCATAGCCATGGGCTGAGTAAAGGTTATTAAAACTTCCAAATCGTTGGTTATTAGAAAGTGATGTTTGGTGGCGTCAGGGCTCAATAATGTTTCAAAAAAGTCCAATAAATGCGGTGTTCGGGTAGAAAGGTAACGGAGTGGGGTTGAATGCATTCAGAACGCAGTTTTGAATTTTTTCCTGAACTAAGTTCTGTCAGAATTTGGAATAACCATGAATGCGAATTTGGTTTATTGGCCACTTTTGGGGTCGTGAGATGTGACTGTAGTCTTTCCAAAGTGTGATTGTATGAAAGGCGGACAGTTGCATTGCTTGATATATATTCTGAGTGGTTAGCCCTCTTTGAATTTTTTTCGGGATTTTAAGGGGAACTGGGGCTCTCAAATCAGAGGATTGTAAGCATTTGCCGATCTTGCGTTTAAAAGTTGGGAATACTTTGAACGCAACGATCGGCAAATGTGATTTTCTTCATTTCAGTTTTGGCTCTTTCGAATTTTTGTGCGTTTCCAGAGCTTAAGGGTTCACATCTAATCACGGAACCAATCCAAGTGGTCAATCTACCGATGAGTTATTCACTGTCCATCCGGACGCAACGACAATTATATAGCCCACTTGATTTAAAACTTATATTTTGCCTCGGAATTCTTTCCTGTTCTGTCTATCGAGTTCAAGGTGATTGATGTGATTGTGAAGGAAAGTAACAAATGTAGTAGTAATGAATACTCGAAAGAAGAAAAAGAAATGAAAACATAAGACTTGAAGAATATTTTAACACATTCACGCCGATGGCCGCCCATATGGGCTGCCAACAACATGCGCTCCTGGGACGATGGCAGCCCATATGGGCTGCCAACTGATAATCGCTTGCCAGGCGCTAGGAATGGACAGATAGGTGGGCAAACCTCGTAATCGAGTGTAAAATGCTTTTAAAATTCCTTCACGGGGGAAAGTGAATAAATGCTCTCTTTTCGTAACCACTATTTGTCGTTCTGATCGAAATCCTACTGTTATATGTTTAGATAATCTTTACGCATTGGACATTGCAGAAATTATTTTGTGACATTCATGTTTTTGTTCATTTACAAAACAAAATCTGCGGTTATGTGGTGAGGCGGCGGCGCCCACAAAATCGCGTCCGTCCCACGCGACCGAAAAGTGGAAAAGGGGCGTCGTCGTGAATGTGTTAAAGGACTTTGTATGGTCTCCCAAATAACTTTTCCTCCTGTCTCTGTTACTTAGGAATAGCCTACAATCTGTATAGTAGGGGAATGCTCATGATTTTTGCTTTTGCCAATATTTGGCATATTGATGTGGGGTAGCTTCAAACAGGAAGCATGAACAAATTCGAGGAAATAATATTTGCCCCCTTTTTTCTTTCCACCTGATTCGTCGTTCTGGCATGTTAAAGACAGTGATCAAGATGGCTGGAGGGCATTGCGATTTTGGTCACTGATTGGTGGTCATTTTTGGATTGGACCCTCAGCGCGCTGGGATGAACCGCCTTCTAAAGCCCTTAGCCGATAAGGTTGAATGACGTAGTTAAATCCGCACTACTCTCCACCTATCATGATCACTGCCTTTAAGGTTTTCAGCGGTCTACTATAGTAGACCGGGCGATTTGTGGGATTTGCCGTTGGAATTATTATGACCTATTAAAATGCTCCTAAAGTCTAAGGACGGTGGGCGGACCATACATGAGTTGGTCTGCAAGCCGACGTTTAAAATGATCCATGTCGAGCAGTTGCTTCCAATGCTAGGTCTCGTTCGCTGTGCAGCTTTGTTGTTGAGACATTCTTCAATATGCACCTTTCAGTAATAGAAGGCCGCGCTGGACAATTTGCCAAAATGCCCCAATATTGATGTGCTCATGAAATTTTCATAAAGGGCAAAATGTGCGACTGGCGCGTGCCTTTAGCGGAAAGCGAAAAAGAAGAAATAAATTTCCGTCGAAAGTTCATGAATGTTTTTAGCTTCGACTTCCGGAAAATGTCAACGAGGACATCCAGGAAGATCCAACGGCTCTGCGCTCGCTATGGGATCGTGGTCTGCTAAATGGTGCCTCCCAAAAGGTATGTGTGGGTGCTTTGAAAATTTGTCATTGACGTGGAAATTAAAGTAAGGGGCAATTTGAGAAATGAGGTATTCATAAGCCGTTGAATAGCCCAGGGGTCTTTTTGTAATGGAAATTCTCCTCATGTGGAGAAAAATAATATTAGGGTTTGACAAGTACTAAGTTGTAAGTACCACGCAGCCTGAAAGGCGTGGTACCCGTCGGTGCCACGTCGTCACAGCGTTAATAATACGCCACATCTAATAGTCCGTGAGGAAGAAGTCAAAGTGTCATCAAGAGGCTCAGTTGGACATTAATTTGAGACATTAAGCTCAGATTCGCAGATTCGATTCGCCACAAAGCGGTGTATTCTGAAGAGTACGAATTCAGGACAGGTCCCTTTTCTGCCCGTTCAGCTGCTGGATCCCTAGATCCTCTGAGAGGGCGGCGGGAGGCTCCTCTACTATTAAAGCAGTCGAACGCAAATGT